AGAAAAGGCTTTATTATACACATTGTAGCTTTGTAAAATTCCTATTGAGACAATTATATAAAGTGAATAATATATAGCTAAGAAAAAAGTCAGCCACCTCTGAAGGAAGTAGAAATGGAGAACTGGCACAGGCATAAACATTAATCTGAGACCTGTATACTCCTCTTTCTACCATGAACTAAACTTACAAACTTACATCTTTGCAGTTCACCTACAGTGGCAATTTTGTGTCGTAGAGGATCAGTTTGGTCCCAATAGATTCCACCCTGCAGGAAGACACCGTTCCTCATTCTAAATTAAATTTCCTTTTAGGGTTCTTGGGTTATTTATTTTATTTAGATTGCTTTCCCATCATACTGCAATGGAATTGTGATAGATGGTTTGCACTATTTCAGTTTGGAACAGTGTCTTGGTGAATTATTTTTCCAGAGCTGGCTGATTATTTCAAGGCCAAATACCCTATTTACCTGAGTCTAATGCTCACCTATTTTGGCTAAATTGTCTTGCCAAAATTAAGATGTGCATTAGATTCGAGTCATTTGGTAATCTTAGTGCTGAACCAAGGAAAAAAGAGAAGCTGCTTCAGGAGGTGCACCTGGAGCTCCTATTTGAGGAACATCACCTCAAATTTAAGTGCACTTTTTGCCAGGGTTTTGAAAATTAAGGTGAGCATTAGACTCGAGTCAATACCATATTCGGCTGGATGTTGTGGCACCCTGGATGAGGCTATAGGATATGCAGAAAGGTCTCATCTCCTTCCCATCCATGACTTCCCCTGTCACTTCTCTCTGCCATCTGGCTGCTCTTTCGGAAGGCAGGCATTTTTGAGATAATACTTGTCCTTCGTACTTATTAGTCTATACAACAATTTATCACTTTTTTTCCCCTGTCAATAGGGACTTGAAAAACTGCAAATTGCTTCTGGTGTGAGAGAATTCACCATCTGCAAGGATGTTGCCCAGGGATTGCCTGGATGGTTTACCATCCTGTGGGAGGCTTTTCTCATGTCCCTACATGAGAAGCTGGGACTGACAGACAGGAGCTCACCCGGCTCCCCGGACCACTGACCTTTTGGTCAGCAGTCCTGCCAGCACAAAGGTTTAACCCATTGTGCCACTGCTGGGTCCACAACACATCGCTTGCCAGAGGGAAAGCGTAAGAGACCTACAGTTGGCTAGGTCCTTCTTCCCTCATTTCAATTCGCTTGGGTGCCTTGAAGGTGGCAGTGAGTAGTCCACCTAGGACTTCTGATACACTTCATTTGACTAGGGTTTGAAATGTTGACCTAAATCCAATTTTTAATCCCAGCTACAGAAGACTTGTAGGAATTTGGGTAAATCGGCACATAAATTTCATGGATTAAATTATTCTGTTCTAGTGAGGGATTGATGCCTCTGTTTACCACATGCCCGCATGCCTTGTATAGCTCAGATATATATTATATGAATGATATCAATTTATGCAACACTCCCAACTAACCTGAAAAATGTGAAAGAAAAGAGGTTGCTAGGGCAGGATACTGTAGTGTGTGTGTATCGCTATGTAGAATACATTCTGTATGGATGTTTTGATATGTATAGAGAGCTTTTTTTCCCCCTCACACAATGGCTCTTAAGAATTGAGGTCATTGCATTCAAAGTGTATTCAGTAAAGAAATGTGACTAAGGAGACTCAAGGGCAAGCTCTTTGGCAAACTCGCTCTGAGGGGATACCAGAGGCTTGAAATGCTAGGATCAAAGGCAAACGTGAGTCAAAAAAAGCAGCTCTGCCTTATATAGGATCTTAACAAATTGTTAGCCGTTGAATATACATTTTTTAAAAAAACTGCTATTTCACTTCCTTCATGAATGCTGCATGATGTTACTGTATTCATTATGCCTCCTCTTGGTTATACTGTCATTGTAGTTTACTTAAAAATGGCTCCCAGAAGGAGTCCGAAAACCCCCTCCCCAACATGCGCAGTAACAAGAGTGTAAATGTAATATATGCAGCTTTTAAACCTTCATCTTTTACATGTGCAATATTTATAACCACTTTACAGTCCCTGAATATCTGCTTTCTTGTCACAGTGAATTAAATACGGGCGGTTCGGAAGGCAGTGCGATGGCAGACCCACAATAAAGGGCAAATCAATATTTAGACAGCTTCGGGCTACCGAGATTCTGCCGACTTCCACACTTGCCAGCAAGCTTTGCTCACATTCATCATGAAAGTTACAGCTTTATGTACTTGAAACATTAGTGCTGATCTGAAATGCTTCTAAGACTCCTCCCTTAGGGCATCTCTTAAATTTGCAAGTACGCCTGTTGCAGTGCTTCGAAATACCAGCATCACTGCCCCAGTGCCTGTTACAAATTAGCGCTGTGTTGTTAACTGATATACAAATTTTGTAAAAACAAACGATCCCTACCGATTAGTCCTCTTTATCTCTCTCTCTACTTGTTGCGGGCTTTTCCCCCGCTCCTCCTGGACTTTTTGTCATGTGTTTTAAGCAACTGCCTGCAAAAGATGCCAACAAGTCCAAAGGAGTTTGGCAAACCGTTTACTTCAGAGGAAGACATCGGCAGTAGATGTCTGGAAGGCTGCAGTTTCGAAGGCCCTGAAAGTCTTGACTCAGCTAGAGATGAAAAATGTACTGTGGAATGTTCTGACTCAGTGGGTTTTTTTTTATTTTGCCTAGATGGCATCTAAAAAAAGTGTGAGCTTAAATGTATTGCTAGAGCTTAGGTGAGCCGTTACTTGTTTTACAGTTCTCCCACCTAGTGGTTGCGGTAGGCATCTGCCATGACTTATTGTGTTCTATGAAGTCTAACTTGGACAAAATTCAGACAATTCTCTTTAATTTGATGCAACTGAGAAAGCAAACTGGGTTGGCTTTCTCAATCTGCAAAGCGCCTGCTCCACTTTCAGAGTTATTTAACAACTGGTTGTGATTGCAAGTAGTCATAGTGAATTTTGTGCCAAGCAGAAGTTAATTATCCAATACACTGTGGTGTCCAAATTAGTACTGCACTCATGTAACAGAAACAGATTTAATGACTACCCTGAATGCTAATTATTCTCTGAGTTCTGCAATTTGAAATTGTAACAAATCCCAACATAACTGAGTTGATGAAGTTTTAATAGAATTGTTGTAAAATTCAGTGTCAGATGTGGAAACATTTAGTTTCACAAGCGGACTTTTCCTTCTTGGGCAGAAAGGAGATTAGTACCATCTCACTCTGGAAGCCTTCAATCTCCAGAGCAGATGGGGTGAGCACATGGAGGCACAAGCAGGAGCAGGAATCTGTTGCTTGGCAAGTGCCTTTCATGGGCGATTGGACAAAGTTAGACCCCACTTTTAAGGGCCACAGCAGAAAAGTGGCAGCCTCTGCGCATTTGGGAAATGTCAACTATTTAAGATACATCAAACATATTTGAAGGAGGGAAATAAAGGTGGAGTACAGTAATAGTAAGTAAAAAAAGAAAATGCAGTCAGCTTTGTATATTGTAAATCTCCCTAATCTAGATCTGTATCCTCTATGCTTATGAACTGAAAACCAATTTGTTCCTCCCATTTTTTCCATGTCAGGAGCGACTTGAGAAACTGCAAGTCGCTTCGGGTGTGAAAGAATTGGCTGTCTGCAAGGACGTTGCCCATGGGAGGCTTTTCTCGTGTCCCCACATGGGTAGCTAGAGCTAACAGAGGAAGCTCATCCATGCTCTCCTCGGATTCAAACCTCCAGCCTGTTGGTCTTCATTCCTTCTGGCACAAGGGTTTAACCCATTGGCCACCGAGGACTCCTTCACCCTATATAATTCTGACTGAATATTTCTCCTATATTGGTTAACATTCAAGATTTTGCACATTATCTACCAGAGTTTTGTGTTCCCTTTCATTTTAAATAAGTGTCTTCCTTTCTACCTCATGCTTGTGGGAAGACTGCTTGAAAGCACCTGGAGTACAGCTGGTAATAAATCAGAAATTGGGATAAGGAGAGGGTCTGAAAGTGAATCCAAGCAGCCAGAAGCCATTACAACATACCATAATGAGAAACTATATTCTACATTGTCAAGCTAATTCATTCATTGAACCTTACATTGTTATTTCTCTGCAGTGACACTATAATCTGAGGAAGCAGAAATGTGTTCATATAGCACTTATTTATGTTGTTTGAAGCCTCGGTTGGGTCCTCCAATTACAAGAGCCATGAAGTAATGTATGTTGATAAGTCGCTGTTGCTTAGGCCCCATTGCAGGATAGTATTGTGCACAGTTTAGTAAATGTCTCCTACTTTTGCTCTTCCTTGTCTTTCTGTTTCCTGTACTTAGAGTAAGTTCTGCCTGTTTCCCCTAATATCCCTATCTTTTAATATTCATTGCATTTCTACAATGGGGAATTTGTTCTAATGAAACCCTGCACAAATGTTGATCCAATTCATTTGGAAACCTTTCAGCAGCTTTCCCCCAAAATGCTGTCCTCTCTGGGTATCTTGTACCACTGCTCCCATCAGTCATCAGCCAATGTGGGACTTCAGACTAGCAAAACTAGAGGGAAGCAAGTTGAGGAACACTATTGCAGACCCATGAAGCCACAGAAAGGATATAGTAACTGTCACCATTTATTCTGACTGCAGAATAAACTCAGCCTAGATTATAGAAATATCACAAAATTGGTGGGATTATTCACCCATTGAAAACTCAGCCACATCCATGAGGTTATTAAACATCTGTTGCCTGATTGAATGTCATTTGGCAAGTGCCAAAGACGTCATTGCTTTCTGACTCATTTGTTGGAAGTAATGTTTAGATCATTCTGTAATATGAAGTATATGGACAGCAATAGAGCAGGCAGCATTAATTATTGGAAGCAGCTTCACTGCTGACTTAATGAAAGATTAACTTGTACATTATGGTATTTATGGACATTAGAGCTGTCAGGTTATCTAACTACAGTTGAGGGGCTTGGGACAATAGCAGTGCTGATGGTAATGTTGGCAATTTCCCTGTTTATTTTGCAGGTCACTGCCAGGGGATTTGGTCCATTGTTACAGTTTGCCTACACTGCTAAGTTGTTACTCAGCAGAGAAAACATACAAGAGGTCATCCACTGTGCAGAATTCTTGCGCATGCACAACCTGGAGGATTCCTGCTTCAGCTTTCTTCAGACCCAGCTGTTGAACAAGGAAGATGGCCTGTTCCTGTGCAAAAAGGATAGCACCTGTCAGCGGATGCATGAAGACGAGAACTCCGAAGGAGAAGAGGAAGAAGAAACGATGGAGTCAGAGACATCCAAGATATCTTGCCCCAGAGAGAGGATGCACCCAGAGCCCTTTAACTTTGAATCTGCCAGTTCGGAAGCTGAGAAGGAGGAAGGGATGCTGCCCAACTCTGACATACTGAATGACGGCAAGGACGGTTTGGATAAGGAAACAGTAACACGGTACCCCAGATATAAGAAATACCAGCTGGCTTGTACCAAGAATGTCTACAACACATCACACATTAGTACCTCAGGTTTCGCAAGCACATTCAGTGAAGAAAGTTCTGGTGACGGCCTCAAACCAGAACTTGTTGTAGGGCAAATTAAAAGTGAGCCTAGGAGTGATGAGAACGAGGAAGAGAACATCACGCTTTGCCTCTCTGGAGATGAGCCTGACATCAGGGATAAGGAGGGGGACATTGAAATGGACCGAAAGCAGCAGAGTCCCACTGGACCAGACAGGCCCAAAAGTGTTTCCTCTTCTTCTTGCCTCAGCTCTTTCTTCAACCGAACGAAAAACATAGACTTAGTTGGCTTCCCCAGTACTTCCCAGCAGCACTTTGCCAGGAGTCCAGCGTGCCCTTTCGACAAGGGGACAACTCAGGGTGACCACAAAACTGATTATGTCCCTTTTGTGGGGAATTACGGACTCTCCCAAGCTGTTCAGAAGGATGCTTCCAATTTTACAGTGGAATCGCCACCTCTCAGGGGTCCTGGCTTTGTTGAAGGTCTCTGCAAGCAGGAGGGTGAGGGGGACAGGAGGAGCGTTATTTTTTCTTCAAACGTTTGTGACCAAGTAAACCCTTCGGTGCATTCATATTCTGGTGTGAGCAGCTTAGACAAAGATCTCAGTGAGACTGTGCCAAAAGGTCTGTGGGCCGGAAGTAGCCAATCTCTCCCCAGTTGCCAGACCTACTCTCACCTCGGACAGGCAGCTGATCACCTCACAGGACGGATGCGGCCTAACACCAGCTGCCCAGTGCCAATTAAAGTTTGCCCTCGCTCTCCTCCCCTGGAAACCAGAACAAGAACCTCCAGCTCATGTTCCTCCTACTCTTATGCAGAGGATGGCAGTGGCGATTCTCCCTGTAGCCTCCCTCTGTGTGAGTTTTCATCTTCCCCTTGTTCCCAAGGAGCTCGATTCTCGGCGGCTGAGCATCAGGAGCCCAACATGATAGGAGATGGAATGTACAACCAAGTCAGACCCCAGATAAAATGTGAGCCATCCTATGGAACAAACTCTAGCGATGAGTCTGGATCGTTCTCTGAAGCAGACAGTGAGTCATGTCCTGTGCAAGACAGAGGACATGAGGTAGGGATTTGTGGCAAGTACACCTGTTAACACTAATTGTGACCCTTCATTAAGCCCATTTTTATCTTAAAAGGGCTCCTTTGTGTGCAGAAAGAGAGAATAACCAATTTTATCCCATCTGCTATTGACTCTGGTGTCAGATTAATAGGAGGAAAAACAACAAAAATATATGTGGGCCAGTTTGATGCTGTTACATAGAAAAATACAGTTTTGACTTTACTTTGCTTAATATCCCAGCTGTGATAAAAAAATTGGGAGTGCCCCATAGGCATTTATGTTACTTTTCAAATACCCCTTCTGCTATCATGCATGGGGTTTCCCCCCTCCATTTCTATACTGAAACTAAAGTCAGCCCACCACATTAACTGAGGTTAGGGGGTCAAGAATCCCACAAAACCATGAATAAAGCCCCCATCTTTTTTACCAGAGAAAGTATCTCTTGTTCAGTGGTTCACAACCTGTAGGTCCCCTGATGTTTTGGCCTTCAGCTCCCCCAAAATCCTAACAGCTAGAACACTGGCTGGTATTTTGGGAGTTGTAGGCCAAAACACCTGGAGGCCCACAGATTGAGAACCACTGCTCTAGATCCTCCGGAGCAACTCTGTGATCAGCTTCCAGTAAAAGTGGTCATAGAATTGAAGAGGTTCTCAACTTGTGGGTCCCAAGGTGTTTTGTCCTACAACTCACAGAAATCCCAGCTAGTTTACCAGCTGTTATGATTTCTGGGAGTTGACTGCCAAAACATTTGGGGACCCACAGGTTGAGAACTACTGCACTAGAAGATGTAAGATTCCTAGAGAAACAATATTAATAAAATCCATGAATGATGAAATCCGCAAATGTTAAACCCACACTTCTGGAGGGTCAACTGTACTGTGGTTAGCATTAGCCCCCCTCTCAATATTTTTGCTAATTATAGTTATCCTAAACCACAGTTTGCCAGCTTAATTCCAAACATGGGTTGCAAATTGCTTTTTGGAGTTAACTGTGGTTTGTAAAAAGGCTGGTGCAAAGGAAATTTATTCTAAAATTGAATAGGGGAGGGAAATAACTATACAAAAGGGAAGAAAGGAAGGCAAAAGCAGTAGCATATCTCACCATGATGAAATTGATTGTTACCTGTGTCTGGGAAATTAGGAGAACTAGATTCTAGGAGTTGTAGTCTCAAAAATAAGCTACATTTGTGACTACAGTTGACTATTGGTTCAATTGTCCCTTTTTGGTGAGGTATTTCTAGTGAAAAAAGGCCATCTAAGAGGAAAGCTGGAAAGAGGATGGAGAGTGCAAAAGCGAAACGATAGATCCATGTTTGCAGAGCACAACCACAACAAGAATCTGGATCCCCGGAGAGTTAATCTATACTTTATCAGCCCATGCTATCTTGAATTCCATCTCTTTCCTAGCCCAAAGCCATATGACCTTCCAACAGTTAACTAATTGTGCTTCTCATCGGTAACACTGTGGCTGCAGCAGCATTCAGTTTTTTTAAAAAACCCTCTTACTGGCACTAATAATCAGCAAACATCTCACAGGAAGAGGACCAGCTAGGATCCAAAATGAAAGCAGCAAGGTCCGTATTGAATATGGATGCGTAGGCACAAGGTTTTAGCCATTCCACTCTCTTTCTTATTGGTGAAAAATAAGGCCCTTCCAAGTCATGAACTGGTGAATAAATATGTAGTTGTTACTTGTTTATTGTGGAACATTAAGACAGCTTCGCCAGAAGTTGTTCAGAATATTGCTTCTTTTGGTGCTTAATTTCCATACATTGTCACTAGCAGAAAACTGTGATACTTTCCTCAGTGGGGCGATTACCGATTGGAGCAATATTTTTAAAAAAGTATGTAATAGGCACCTACTAATTAATAGCCAAGTTTAAAAGAAGGAACCTTTCAAATTGTGATTTTGGGGCAGTAGCATCTCCCTACTTTTCCCTTTGCCTTCTACATCTTATAGCAAACTTTGATAACGAAAAAAAATGGAAATAATAGCTTGCAATATTATATCAATTTAATTGGGAGTAAATCTCACTGGCTTGAATGGTATAAGTTGAACACTGCTTTGTCAGAATACTAAAATACTTGAAAAATTTCCACATGGATGGATAGAATAGTAACACATTTGCTTTCTGATGGTTCAGTGTACCCAAACTGTCTTTCGTTCATTGTGTATAAATTTGCTATGAAATATAAATGGAGTGCATGCCCGTTTATGAACAATGGATCTATCACCAAGCCAACTAATGATATATGCATATGAAAATACAGGTTTTTCAAAATCCAAAACACTTCTTTCTGGTCCCAAGCATTTTGGATAACAGATACTCAACCTGTTCTCTGAGTAGACCGCCTAGCTGAACTGATGGTCTTCACCCTTCTACAAAAACCAAACATGCCTAGTTAAGTGATGAAGCTCCCAGGGCCACCAAAAAAATAAAGAGTTCCATGTTATTAGCAATAATTACATCCCACTGAATTGAATGGGATATTTTTAGTAGATGTGAAATGCACTGTAAGAGGTTGAGGACCTTTTTGTACTACTGTTCAGTAGTATTAATGTAACCATTTATTTTTCTTAGGAGCTCCCGGTAGCACAGTGGGTTAAACCACTGAGCTGCTGAACTTGCTGACCAAAAGATCAGCAGTTCAGATCCGGGGAGTTGGGGGAGCTCCTTCTGTTAGCCCCAGCTTCTGCAAACCTAGCAATTCATGAAAATGTGAGTAGATAAATAGGAACTGCTTTGGTGGGAAGGTATCGGTGCTCCATGAAATCATGCCGGCCACATGACCTTGGAGGCGTCTATGGACAAAAAAATCTTCAGCTTCGAAATGGAGATGAGCACCATCCCCCAGAATTGGACTCGACTAGACTTAATGTCAAGGGGAAACCTTTACCTATTTATTTTTCTTATCTTTTCTCTCCTTAAAGCTACCCTAAAAATTATTTTTTCCTGAGCAACTGTTTCCCCTTTCCCGTGCTTAAGTGCATATATTTCATGAATGAGCAAGTCATTCACTTCTCCAGCTCACCTTACAAGTGGACAGATTAACATGCTATTGCTCCTGTGTAAGAGTTTGAGTGAGAACTGCAAAGAAGAAAAGGTCTAGCTGTGGTGATTTTCTTTGTTTTGTTCCTAGTGCTCCAGTTAGGTCCATACAAAGCATTCTGGAGCTTTAACTTGTGCCTTTACTAACTTACAATAAGCTTGCCTGTGTCTAGCCAGGTATTGCATCTGGACAAAAGTTTAAATGCTTACTTAAGCTAGGTTCAGTTCAGTCCACAAACAAATTGCTTTGATCTTTTCTTTGAAATAGAAATAATGCAATTAATGTCGTAGTACTCAATCATAGGTTCTTGGATATGGTTGCATATCAGCTCCTAAAAGTCCAACCCAGTATTATTGTTACCCAAGGATTATGGGAGTTGCAGTCCAACAGCATCAGAAAGTTCAAGGTGACGAACCAAAGAATTAGGAAAAATTTATTAAAAGCGGGAATGTCTGAACTTAAGAGCCAAGCATGAGCTATAACCAAAAAAGGAACTGTGCCCTTATTGGCATGAATTTCTGATGGGTCATTTCCCCACACTTTTGACTCTTTGCTTTTATTAGTATGTAAAAAGAAACTGCAAGTTAATAATGATAATAATAATAATAATAATAATAATAATAATAATATTTTTATTACCTGTCTTGTGGCTCGAGGCAGGCTGCAACAGGGTTAAAAACAGAACGACAGAACACGGCACGATTAAAATACATATAATACAAGACTAGACCAATAAAATGTAGACTAAATTTCACAAGTTAAAGCTGAGTTGGCCTGCCAAAAGAGATAGGTCTTGAGTTGCTCAGCTAAATGAGCTGTCTGATCTCTTTTGGCAGGTCCTTCCAAAATTGTGGGGCGGCTGATGAAATAGTCCTCTGGATGACGGCTGTCAGTCAGGTTCCAGCTGTTAAACGCTTCTCCCAGAGGACCTCAGTGTCCAGGTTGGATCGTGCAGGAGAATGCGATCCTGTAGGTAACCTGGACCCAAAATATTCTTTCTACAGCTGTCTCCTGTGATAACTTTGTGTAGCACAGATTAGTAGGAGGAAAAGATCATGAAGTGGCGAGCGGAACAGTAAAAACTTGATGTCTTCAACAGTACTGATTGTTCTATAAAGAGAGCTGCAGATGGAAACAACCATTTAACTAGAAATGTTCTTCAGGCAACTTTTGCCCTTTCTCTGGGATGCACAGGCAGGAGGATTTCCCTTATGCCTTATTTTTGCAGATCCCACAGAGAACAACTGATTGTCCAGTGTATGGATAAAATGTGCTGGGTGTCTTCCAGTAGGGCCTTCATTTCCACTTGTCTTTCTGCACCACACTCAAGAGCCCTTATCATTTTTTTTAATTTGATGCTCTGACAATAGATCACAGAATTGGAAGAGATCTCATGGGCCATCCAGTCCAACCCCCTGCAAAGAAACAGGAAAAATGCATTCAAAGCACCCCCAAACGATGGCCATCCAGCCTCCATTTAAAAGCCTCCAAAGAAGGAGCCTCCACCACACTCCAGGCCAGAGAGTTCCACTGCTGAGCAGCTCTCACAGTCAGGAAGTTCTTCCTAATGTTCAGGTTGAATCTCCTTTCGAATCTCCTTTCCTATAGTTTGAAGCCATTGTTCCATTGCATCCTGGTCTCCAGGGCAGCAGAAAACAAGCTTTCTCCCTCCTCCCTATGACTTCTCCTTATACATGGCTATCACGTCTCCTCTCAGCCTTCTCTTCTGCAGGCTAAACATGTCTGCTTGCATCTTGGCCTTGGAAAAATATGCTGTGGTCGCTGTGTTGTTCAGTAGCTAACTACTATTGGCAGCAATCCAACTTCCCCCAGCATAGTGTAAATATATGCACGAGGACTTAAGCTAGGTTGACCCATATACCCTTCTAATGACATACTGTAAAGCCCTTAAAGCCGCCCTACACAACCTTTCCATGTTTCATGGCAAGCAGG